CCCTCCCTCCCTCTCTCTTAAAAAAAATTAAAAATAAAAATAAAGAATAAGTTTGAAAAATGCATCAGAGACCTTAGGATCAGGAATATCATTTTAAGGGTGCCATCTCTAGCTGCCTATCCTAGAGTAATCTATGCAGGTGTAAAAGACTTTATACAAAAGTGTACATTGCATCATTCTTTATTATTGTGGTAACCTGGAGTAAACATATCCAAAACTGAATAGAAGACTGTGGTATTCTACAAAATGCAATATTAATCAGTCATTAAAATATAAACCACTGGACTCAGGGTGCAGCTCAGAGGTAGAACACTTGCCTGGCATATACGAGATTCTGGCTCCAACCCCAGCACAGCAAGAATAAAAAATAAAAAAACACAGCTGGACATGGTGGTGCATGCCTATAATCCCAGTGGCTCAGGAGGCTGAGGCAGGAAGATCTTGAATTCAAAACCAGTCTCAGCAACTTAGCGAGAACTTGTCTCTAAATATAGAAAGGGGCAGAGGATGTGGCTCAGTAGTTAAGTGCCCCTCAGTTTAATTCCTGGTACCAAAATAATAATAATAATAATAATAATAATAATAAATTAAAAGCACAAATAAATAAATTTTCTACAAAACAAATCTAAATACACACTTAGAAATAAACAAAAATGTTAACAATGTTTATTTGAGCTGCAGGTTTAAGAGAAATGTTCTTTTGTTTTTTTATATTCTCTAAATATACCACAACAAATATGTGTTCATGTTACTGATTGATTGATTGATTGATGGTGTTGCTGAGTATGGAACCCAGGGCCTTGGACATGCTAGGCAAGTACTCTACCACTGAGCTATAATTATATATTATTTATATATTTTTATATGTTATTTATACATATTATATATTATTAATATATTATATATTATTTATATATATTATTTATATATATTTTTTTAACTGAGAAATTAACCCAGGGGCACTTTACTGTCCTAGTCCTTTTTATTTTAATTTTGAAACAGGGGCTCACTAAGTTGCTAAAGGTCTTGCTAAATTGCTGAGGCTGGCCTCGAACTTGTGGTCCTCCCAAGGCACTGGGATTACAGGCATGCGCCACTGCGCCCAGCCCCATGTAATAATTTTTATGTATGTATAAAGGAAGCCAGGTGTGGTGGGGAAGGTCTATAATACCAGCGACTTGGGAGGTGAGGCTAAGGCAGGACGATGGCAAGTTCAAGGCCAGCCTGGGCAACTGAGTGAGACCTGTTTCAAAATTAGAAATTTAAAAAGGCCTGAGGATGCCGCTCAGTGGTACAGTCCCTGGGTTCAATCCCAGTCTCTCTCTCTCTCTCTCTCTCTCTCTCTCTCTCTCTCTCTCTCTCTCACACACACACACACACACACACACACACACACACAGAGAGAAAGGTGCATACGTGAAAAGTTTAGACTTTTAAAAATGTATGTTAGGGATGTGCAATACTATCCCTTGGAGAACCCATGGAAAATCACCCACAATAGGTGATTCCCAAGATGGGGGTTGTCCAAACTTTTATAGTCAAAACGCTTAACAGAATTATCCATTTGCCATGCGAGAGCCCAGAGGTCAGGGAGTTGCGGCCAGCGCACCTGCTGTTGAGACAACCTGGTAGTCAACACCCAGGACCCTCCTGCCCAGTTTGCAGTTGGTGATGCTTCTCCATTCTACATGAATTTGTTTTTTTTCTCTTAAAAAGATTTGGTTTTTTCTCTTATTTAATTACGGCGGCTGGTTTGTGGTGCTGATCTTTCACATCACGGCGTTCTGGGGGGAGAACATTAGAGGGCACTGTGGGGGCAAGATGTCTAAAGACTTGCTGAGCTATGGGACTCTCCCTCCTGCCACCTCCAAAACATAGTTCTGCATTGGGGTCCACAGGGCAGCCCCCCTGAAGAGCCAGTGGTGCTGTGGGAAGTTCCTGAGGTGTGTGGAGTGCGAAGCTCCAGGTGTCACCAAGCCCAGCTGCTACCTACTACGCAGCTGTGTGACCTGGGACAATCCAGAGAACCTCTCTAAACTTCCATTTCATTTCCCCCTAGAAAATGTGTGTGTGTGTGGGATGTGTGTGTATGTGTATGTGTGTGTGAGTGTGTGTGTGTGAAAGAGAGAGAGAGAGAGAGAGATATGACGTCTGCCCTGACCACCCTGCTCACTCTAGAATGGTCTAGCATATTCTACAGTCTGGAAAAGTTGGGGCAGTGGGATGATCTTGGTCATGAAGTCCCAGGTGCACCTTCAGCCCTGCCATGTGTGAACTTGGTGGCTTGGGTCATTCACGCTTTGCAGAGTTGCAAGCAGAGTAAAACAGTGCCACCCTGGCTCTTTCCCACCCCCTGCACAATCACGGCAAGTGGACAAGCTTTCTGACTTTCTGGTGTCGGCAGGTATTGTGTCCCTTGCTCCTGCCTACTCCCTCCTTAAAGCAAGAGCCACCTGCTGCCACCAGGTACAGTGTAGTGCATTGAATAGTGTCCCCCACACACACCATCCCATAAAACGTGTTCACATCCTAAACCCAGGTAGCTGTGAATGTGACTTTGTTTGAAAATAAGGTCTTTGCAGGTGTAATTAAGTTAAAGATTTCAAGATCAGATTTAGGGTGGGCCCTAAATTCAAACACTTGTGTTCTTACAAGAGGACACCGTTCCCATCTCATTAAATCTACTATAAACTTTTTATTCATCCTGCCTTTTCAGAACCCTGGCCAAGGTGGAGCTGGAGAGAGATTTCAGGGGAAGACTGAAGGCAGAGATTGGAGTGACGGTTCCATGAACAAAGGAACACCAAGGAGTCACCAGACACTGTAAAAGACAAAGAGCCCTTGAGGGAATATGACACTAGAGAGACCTCAATTTCAGATTTCCAGACTCCACAACTTAAGAGAATTAAAAAATCCGTTTTTTTTTTTTTTAACCACTGAGTTTGGGATCATTTGTTGTAGCAGCCACAGGAAACTCATACTCACAGAGATCCCCAGTTCCAGCAAATTGTAAGGAATGTGGGCTCTGGAGACAGAAGACTTGTGTTCAAGCCCTGGCTCCTTCACTTCATGGATGGATAACTGAGAGCAAATTAATGATGATCTCTGTGCCTCAGAGTCCCCATGAACAAAAACAGAATTGATAATGGGACCCTTCTTCTAATACTGTTGTAAAAGTTAAATGAAATAGCAGATATTTAGAACAGTACCTAGCACAAAGTAGACCCTCACTGAACATCAGAAAGTTTTAATATTAATATTAACCAGAGTCAGCATGGCTTCCCCTGTTTGCTGTTCCCTGGGGCATCTGCTCATCAGTATTCCAGTTCTCTCCATAGCTATGTATGGCTTGGTTAGTTCTATATTTATTGAAAGCCTTTGAGCATCTATTAATCCTTCCTGCCAGCAAATGGGAGGCTGAGGCAGGAGGATCCCAAGTTTGAGGCCAACCTGGGCAACTAACTTAGTGAAACCCTCAGTGACTTAGCAAGACTCTGTCTCCAAATTTAAAAAATAAAATAAAAAGGGCTAGAGATGCAGTTCAGTGATAAAGGAACCCTGGATTCAATCTGTAGTATGAAAAAAAAATTCTTCCTGTACTACTCCCCAGTAGCCACCAGACCTAAATGCTACCTCTCCCTGGAGCCTGGTGGTCCAGCAAAAGCAGCCTCTGAACCCCAGGCTGCACCCCTACCCCAATTCCAGCCTGGGCCTCCCTCAGCTTCAGCACCACAGGGGGCTATGGCTCACTGCGCTGTTCCCATCTCATTAAATCCACTATAAACTTTTTATTCCTACTGCTTTGTCCACAGCACCTGCCCAGGCTGAGCTGGCCCTTGGTCCCCGGTGTTTGCCGAATGAGTAAGTTTATGACTCAGGTTGGGAAGCAGCACTTCCTTTTCGGGGCTCGGAATTCACATTACATGGGGTTCAAAGGTTGCTCCTTGTCTCTTGTGAGAAATCCATTCTCACCTCCAGCACATCCTTCCTGATTTTGTAGATGGGGAACATTTTTACATCCACCTCCACCGGTCTGGTCCCTTCAGACCCCTGCCCCAGCCCCTCCAGGATCGACACTCTCCCCTGCTCCATGTCACCCAAGGAGCTCCCCTCCCCCCACACCTTACTACAAACACCTTGAACTTCGCGTCCACAAAACAGACCTTGGGTTGTGACCCTCATGTTTATCCCTGGGACTTTCTGGAATTCTCTGATGGAAAATGGAGAATTCCTGGCTGTGTCCCCCTCCCCGGAGGCCCTAGGACAGCTTCACCAGAAACCCCATGCTCATCCCAAACCCAACAGGCTCAACTTTAGACACTTGTTATCCACCATCAAGAGGCTCCTGCCCTCCCAGTCGACAGAACCATCCATCTGGGTGCCCCCACAGCCCTCTACCAGGGAAGCCTCCATTCCCTGGAGACTGGGTGGAGCCGTCCTCTGCCTTCCAGGTGGCTCCTCTCTGTGCCTCTCCACAGGCCTCTGATGCCTGTCTGCCCCATGGCAGGGATGTCCCCAGCCTGGCTCAGCCCACACGGGTTCCTCTGGTATCTAAAGCCTCAGCCTGGCTCTTCTGTTCCCACCACCCATAAATGACCCAACACCACAGCGCTCGCCCCCACTGAACACTCGCTCTGCCTGGCACACGCCCCCTCCTCACCTCCCGGGGCCTCCCTAGGCCTTGGTCCCCCCACAGCCACCGGAATGATTTCCCCAGAGTCTCACTGAGGTCTTCTTCCCCCCAACTGTCTGCTTATCCAAAACCTCATCAGTTCTCACAGAGAGTAACCAGAAGGGGGGACAAAGTAGAAAGGAAAGGAAACTACCGACCCCCCAACTCCCACAGCGATCCCTGGCCTGACACCTGAGCTGCTCCCTGAGGACCCAGAACCCATGCCTAGGGGGAGGGAGCAGGGTGCAGAGGACCCACCCAGGAGGGACGCAGGCACAAACCCAGGGTGTGTGGCCCCCAGTAAGTCACTCACCCTCTCTGGGCCTGTCTCCTCCTTGTCCTGACTTCCCTCCACATCCATGTGAGAATCATCCCAGGAGCTGCCCCTGGGAAGTGGTTCTGGAGAGAGCAGCGCCCTCTGCGGGGAGGGCCCCTGGGTATGGGCAGGCCCCTGAATCCCCCTCAGCAGCCCCCGTGCCTGGCCTCACCCTCCAGACGGCCCTTGGCACTTGCCGTAGACAGATGTTCTCCTGGCTCTTTGCACACCCATGGATTCACTCGTGTTATCGTTTCAACCCAGTTTTAAGCACTGGGGGGACATGGGCTTTGGTCGGTTGGGGTTTCCCGTGCCTACCTGGGTAATGAGCCTGGTTGGGCCCCTCATCATCCACCCACACATCACCTCGTCCCGCCCCTCAGATAACCTGGCCAGAGGGATGTCCTGTACCACGCTGGGCCAGGCCTGGGGAGGGACAGGAGGACCCTTCTTAAGAGAGACCCCCGCTCGCAGCTTCCTCCTCTTGGTATGTTAACTGGAAGTGAATGGACCTGGTATTAATGTCCTCTCATAATGTCCTTAAATCTCCAAGGTCCACCAGGTCCTTGCTCCTCTCTCCTCGGCTTACGGGGAGGGGGAGGTCTGTCAGGGCTTGTTGGCCTGAGGAGGCCCCTAAGGCCTTGGGACTTCCTGATGGCCGCCCCGCAGGGCTCTAGATACCCCACCCCACATTCCGCAGCCCACTCCCTGGCCTTCACTCAGGCCCCCCCTTCCTCCTGGGACCTCACTTCTCCTCCTCTCAGCCTTCCCAATTCCATGAGAGCTCTGCCCTCCCTTGAGGGAATCAGAAAGTATATCTTGAACAAGCAAAACCAGCTTGTCACTAGTCACTTCCCAGACATGACTGTGGCCAGGCTCAACAAGAACCCTCCAAAGCCAGCCTCTAACCACTTCTAACAGCCCACCCACCATCTCTAATGGTCATTTCCACCTTTCCCAGGTGTACCTGCAGCTCCTCCCAAGTCAAGTGGGGAAGCTGCCAGATGCCTCCCAACACCTTCCCTCCCTGCCAGGGCCAGGAGCTTCTGAGGTGCCTCTGGGAGGCTTGGAAACACCCAGGTTTCCAGGCAGGGCAGCCCCGAGGCTGAGGGCAGAGAGCACCATGGATGTGAAGAAAGAGCCCCATCCTCTGGAGAAGGCCAGAGAGCAGCAGGGACGGCTCCCAGCCACACCCCAACTGGGGCTGCCTTAGCCATCAGCTCCAGGACCACAGGACGCACTCCCTCCTCTGCACCTACAGCCTCTGCAGGGTCCCTTTAGCACCCCAGAGGCAGGATGAGGACACAAGGTGGAAGGACAGAGGGAAGCCAACCACCTGCGGCTCTGTCGGAAGCCGGGAAGCACCAGGCTAGGTCTCACTCACCTACTGTTTGTGCTGTTGTTGAAGATGAAGGGCTGATGGGCGTCAAGAGCTGGAGAGCCAGCAGCAGGACCCAGGTCACCAGCATCTCCCGGGCTGTGCGCCCCTGGCTCCAGGATCTTCCCTCTCAGGAGAGGGGCCAAGAAATGAGAGCCTCCCAAGGAGGGAGCAGCTATAAAAAGGACCCTGGAGACCTTTGCCTTGGGGAAGGACAGCGCCTGACCCAGGGTGGGGGCAAGGTGATGACACGGGGTGGGTGACACACTGTGACTACAGGGAGTGGGCTAAAGGGCAGCCTCTCAACCTTCCTCTCCTCTAACTCCTGACGCACTGACTCCCCTGAGCCAGGGTCACTCTAGCCAGAGGAAGACAGTGTCACAGGGTGGGACAAGTCAAGAGGGAGGGACAGGAGGCAGGCAGGGGTGTGAGCTTGAGACAATGATAGAGGGGCGGGACCAAGAAACGCCAGGGAGAGGTGACTGTGGAGGGAGGGGTGTCCCAGGAGGGACACCCCTCAGGACAGGTGAAGGAGAATCTTGATCAAGGAGCACCCCCTTGCTCTCTCGGCCTTCTCTCCCCACCACCCATCTCCAGCTGCCCCTTCAGAATTCCCAGTGCTTTCCCATCAGGTGGGGCGCCCATTCACACCTGAGGCTTTATGGCCCGACTCCACCCCTGGCCAGAATCAGAGGTGACGAAAGGCCATGGGCCAGCTTCTGCCTAGGGCAAAGGTCCATGGGGGCCTCTCCCAAACCCCCACCCAAAGGATCACGGGGATAGATTATTTCTGACCATCTCAGCCCCAGCCAAGCAGGACCAAGAGCCCATAATGGTGGCAACAGAAGGGTCTGAGCCCTCACAAACAGGCCCTGGTGGGAGGACGTGTTTGCAAGAAGGGATCTGGGATGCTCAAGGTCTTTGGGGGCTCAACTTTATATTTCTACAGAAAAGGCAGCAAGCCCAAACTGGACACCTCCCTGCCCCAGTCCCAGGGTCTAACTCCTTCCAAACCCAGCCCTAAGCTTCTGAGGTCAAAAGGGGAAGGACACAGGTGACAAAATCTGAGACCCTCACCTGCTGCTAATGGAGAGACTCCCTGCCACCCAACCAATAGCTAACAAAATGGGTCCCCCCACCAAGCTTGAGGTAGTCATGGCCCTGAGGGCTGCCCACAGATCTTCCTTCCACCCTGGGAGACAGGGATGCTTCCCTGGCCCTCCTACATCTCATCAGGAAGTCCCTGTTCTCCAACCAAGTGGACACTGCTGGGGACAAGATGGGGCTGCAGGGGAGAAAGACACCGAATACCGAATAGTTTCTTTGATAATAAATGCTATATTGTGTTCACTTGGGGAACTGGAGATTCCACAACTCCCCATCCCCAAACTTGATCTTCCTGGCAAAGGAGGTCCGAGGGCTTCAGGCTCAGAGATCGCTGCAGGGATGGGGTAATCCGAAGGAGAGAGGGGAAGAAGAAGAAGCAGGAGCGATGGGAAGGAGGCCGTGAGGCTGAGGGGAGAGGGGAGGAGGCGGGTCAGGGAAACAAGGAGGAGGGAGCCTCACTTCCCCCCCATCCTTGGGAGCTCTGGAAACTCAGGCTCCACCCCTGCCCACAGGGATCCAGGTGCCCTGGGGTGAGAGGAAGGGGTAGAGCCTCAGAATGGTGAGGCTAGGGGAGTGCCAGTTGGGGGACCCTCAGAAGCCAGGAGTATCTGTCTCTGTCTAGGAACAGGCATGTGGGGAGGAGGTAGGATTTCGGGAAAGCACTGGGATGGGAGAGGCAAGGATTCAGGGCTGAGAGTACCAGGGTGGGAGATAGGAATTCAAAAACTGGGGGAGATATAGGGCTGGGGGAGGGGACCGGTTTAAGGAACTGGCTCAGTAAGGGAAAGACAAGGGGCGCAGAAGCGGTTGTCTAGGAGAGAGAGTAAGAGACGGGTGGGCTGCCTATGGGTTCAGAGTGAGGGACCCGAAACATCTAGAATAGTAATTGGATGCAAACAGAAAAATAGGGACCAAGGCTGGAAACCAGGGGAAGAACCTGGGGAAGGGGGACCTGAGGGAGGTGACCTAAACATGAGGGTTGACACAGGTGGATAGATTGGAACAAAACTGACCAAACACGTGGTTTTCACAGTAACAGTAGGAGGTATCAGGACAAGTGTGTTATATCCACTTTATAGGTGAGAAAACTGAGGTGAGAGAAAACACTGAGTCGCTCAAGGTCCCACAGCAGAAGAGCCTGGATGTGAGCTGGGTCTCCAGGTGGATTTAAGCCCAGTTGGGAGGATGGGGATAAAGGGAACAGTCTCATTTTGCCCCAAGGACACCAGGCGCCTGAGGCCACCTCTGGAAATGGATGCAGTGTAGATGGTTCCCTCCTGCAGTCCTGGGCAGGGTGGAGGGGGTGGTGAAGAGGCCCCACGGGACTCAGAGCGAGGATGAGGCCATCTCAGGTCTCTGAATGTGTACCTGCCACAGAGTATAGGGTGAGAGGGATTGAGAACAGGGGACCACCTGCGTGGGCTGGCCAGATGGCCAGTGGCTGGGGGAAATCCAGCACTGGAGCTGGGAGAGGTCCTTAGCGTCCTCCCTCTGCCCCCTCACCTTCGTGCTGGTGTCCACATTATCCAAGGCCACGTGGAAGCTTTCGTCATTGACTAGGGAGAGAAGAGAGAGAAGGAGAGGGGAGAGAAAAGGAGTGAGACTGGATGTGGTGGAAACTCCATGTCCAAAGGCAGGGCCCCAAGTGGCTGGCTGCTCTGCCTGGGGATGGCCTGCGCAGGAACAGGATCTTTCTCAGGAGGGATGACACAAACTCCCTGACACGACATACAAAACTGTCCCATCCTGCCCAGGCCACAGTGATGCCCAGGGAAACCCTGCCATCTTCCCAAGAAAGACTCACCTATTCTGTCGTCCTCGAAGCCAATGTTGGAAAAAGTCCCCACGGTGTCTTCATCCCAGATCTCAAACCATTGCCTGTCGTCGTCCCAGGACCTAGGTGGCAGCGCCATGCGGTCAGGCAAGCCCCAGTCCCTGGGCCCCTCTGGCCACCCCCACCGCGGCCCTAGAGCACTCACTGTCCTCGGCGCTGGCGGTCCTTTCCCCGGGAGCGCACCAGCCAGACGCTCAGCAGCCCCAGCAGCAGCAGCAGCACCCCGGCGCCCCCCGCCAGGCCCCCGACCAGCGCCCTCCAGTGGATGGCCATCTCGCAACGCGACCCCGAGAACCAATGAGTGTCAGTGGAGAAACATCTGGGGAAAGGTCACAGGTCTCAAGACAGGTCACAAGCGGGGCCTCAGGGGCGGGGCGCGGGCCTGGAGGGCGTGTCCCTGGACGAGGGGCGGGGCTTCCACCGAGGGCGGGGCCTCACCTGCACACTGGACCGCTCCTCTCCAGAAGGCATTGGCCCTGTCCACAGTTGATGGCACCGTCCAAGCCGGGCGTACAGTTGGTGACGCAACGGAGCCGATTCTGCTCCACCAGGGGGAAGTAGAATTCCTCATAGCCCTTGGCAGCCGCTCTGCTACAGATGGCTGGGGGAGGAGGGGGGTGTAGAGACCAGGGTCTCATTCATTCCTCTCAGGGCCTGGTTGTGGGGACCGAAACGCATGGGGAGAACTCTTCGGAGCGCGGGTGTTGGGATTAGAAGCAGGAAAGACAGCCTCCCGCTCCCCACCCTCTCACCTTGCCTTGCGGGAACTCAGGTGTAAGCTACTACCTGGAGCCCAGAAGGGCAGGAAGGGCCCTCATCTCTTGCCTCCCCAAAAGTTCTCCCCCTGCTCCCCCAGGGGAACTTCAATGGACAAGTGTCCCCTGTGGGAAGGATCATGGCCACCTGAAGCCACTCAGCCCTTTGCCCCCTCCTCACCTTTCGGGGTCAGCTCTGTCCTGATGTTCTCATTCACTTTGACGGAGTTAGGCTTAAAGCACAGGGCTGGGGAAACAGGTTCAGATGAAATGGGGCGGGCAGGGATGGGGAGGGCTAAGAGGGCTCTCTCCATACTCCCCAGATGTGGAGGGGCAACTAGGGAAGGCTGCTGCTGCCTCCCTCCTCCCTGCTGAATAATCAGACACCCAAGCATCCCAGAAGCACTGAGCATACCTGCCAGGGGATCTCTTCCTAGCACCCCAGTTCTGAGCCCTCCTGAGCCCACCCTTGACCCAGTTGGGTGTAGACTTGTGCCCCTGCCAGAGGAGCCACGGGACGGCCCCTGAACCCTAAGAGTCCCCTGGACTGAGCTGGAGCAAGCTGGGATGACCACTCTGACCCCTCCCTTCAGCTTCTGCTCACTCTGGTTATGCTGGCAGCTGTCCCCATCCTGAATGACACTTTGGAGCTCCTCCTTCAGGACCGTCTTCACCTTTTCATACTGGCTCTCCAACTTCGGGCTGAAGGACAGCTCCAGTAGGACCAGATAATCCACCACGATGCTGCCACTCCTGAGGGGGCCAGGAACCTTAGAGGGTGCCCAGGCTTGGGGCACACAGGTCCTGGGAGGGGCTCCTCCAGAACCAATCACAGTGCATGCAAAAGGGTTAGAGGTCCCGAGGTGAAAAGCCACCCATGCTTTTCTTTTACCCACACATGCTTTTCAAAAGGGGCTGCCAGCATCCCTGATAATGGGAGTTTTCTTTGCATGACATCAAGCCGTCACCAAACCACCAAAGCTGTTTCTCCGGGGCTCTCTGTCTTCCCCATCTGTCTCTCTCATGCTGACTGACTCTAGCAGAGCCAGTGCCAGACAGAGGACAAGACAACAGTCCTGACACTTCCCTGCCTGTCCCTGTGTACTTCCTCCACCCCTCTCTTTATGAAAGCAAATGCTTCAAGAAGCAAGGGATAGATGCCCCGGCCCTTCTTCACGCCCCTGTCCCCTCCTAAGGCTGCTTCCACATCCCCAGCAGGATCTCCTACCTCAAGGAGAGGATTTTCACAGCCCTGAATCCCTGCACGCCTTTGTAAATCTTCATCATCTGAAATGTCAAGAATCCCTGGGCTCACATCTGAACCTGTGGACCTGAGGGTGCCCGCTGCAGGGGAGGACCCTTCACTTCCCCTCCCTTTGCCCCTCACCTGATCCTGGAAGGTCTTGTTGAAATCTCTGTAGGCCTTGGAAGTGTTGTCACTGAGGTCCGGAGAAAATTCCTGGTCAACAGACACCTCCATGCCCACTTCGGCTTCCACTGTGCCTGCATACAGCACACTCCGATCTGGTCACTACCCCATCTGTCATCACCACCCCCACCATCCACACCCCCACCCCCAGGCTCCCAGCTCTGCCTGCTTCCTTGTCTCTGAGGACTGACTGAATGGCAGTAGGGAGAAAAGAAGAAATTCTGGGACAAGTTGTCTGGAGGTAAGGGAAAGTGGTCCAGAAGCATGGCAGCCAGACTGCGCAGTCCCTCCTGGGGTAGGCAGAGTAATGACCCCCAAAGTTGTCCTGCCCTGGTCCCCAGAAAAGGTCATAGTATAAAATTAAATTACAGATGGACACAGTGGTGCACACCTGTAATCCCAATAGCTTGGGAGGCTGAGGCAGGAGGATCTTGAGTTCAAAGCCAGCCTCTGCAACTTAGCAAGGTCCTAAGCAACTCAGTGAGACTCTGTCTCTAAATAAAATATTAAAAAGGGCTGAGGATGTGGCTCAGTGCTTAAATGCCCCTGGGTTCAATCCCTGATACCAAAAAAAAAAATTACAGATTATTTTTGTGTATGATATTGGGGAGTGAACTTGGGACACTGAACCACTGAGCCACATCCCCAGCCCTTTTTATTTTTTATTTTGAGACAGGGACTTGCTAAATTGTCCAGCCTGGTCTTGAACTTGCAAGCCTCCTGTTTCAGACCCTCAAGTACCTGAGATTGCAGACGTGAGCCACTGCACCCCATTAGATTACAGATAATCCATGTTAAAAATGAAGATAAAATCCCACTGTTTATCAGTTTACCTCCATATGGGAAAATTAACCTGGCCCAATCAGGTGGGTCCCATGTGATCACAAGGGTCATTAACAGTAGAAGAAGGAGGCAGAGGAGATCAGAATCAATCAGAGGAAGACAACTATGGAAGAAAGACACAGAGGACCCAGGTGGTTTTGGGGGGGGGAGACCTTGACACGAGGAATGTAGGAAGCTCTAGACACCGAAAGTAGCAAGGAATTGGATTCTTCCCCAGATCTGCTGGAGAAAAACACAGCCCTGGTGATACCAGTGAGAACCACATCTGACATCTAATCCACAGAAGTGTGAAATGATCACGTGTGTTGTTTCAGCTGATAGGTTTAGGGTCATTTGTTATACAGGAAAGAAGACAGCACCAAGCAGCCCCAACCAGGAGGGGTTAGTAAGGCAGTAGGACATGGCATGAGACAGCACAGGGCATGGGAGAGAAGCCAAGGATGGGAGGACTGGAAAGATGGTACGTGGGTAGCTCAGGTCCCCCAGAGGCACCCGCAGGAGGAAGTGGAGAGCATTGGGCTTTAGCAACTCACCTAGCTCCAACTGTTCCGCCGGAAACTCACAGAGAGGGCCATAAAAGGTGGTGGGGCAGAGGCACTTAAGGCCGTCCCATGTACCCCCATTCTGGCACCCGATATCCTTGTGCTGACAGCGATCCCCAGAGAACCCAGGGCGACAAGAGCACTGGCCCTGTTCCCAGGTGCCACCATTGTCACAGTTACCTGGAAAGCACAGAGAAAAGTTGAAGTTCCAAAAGGACCTGCTCTTGGGGACATGGGAATTTGGCAGGAGGAGGAAGGAAAGAGAGGAGAGAGAGAGAAGGTCCAACCTGGGGTTGTTCTTGACACTGTAGTCATCTGAGTGGTGGTCAGAGTTGTTCTTGGGGACGTCAGGGTGGTGGGAGTCTTCGTGGTGGCCACTGGTGTCTCTGGGCTTCTGGTGGTGGGTGGAGTGGGGTGTGTCAACTTGCTGGAAGTCGTGACCATTGGAGGGCTACTGCTTGGCTTTGTGGTCGGTGGGAGATTAGTGGAGCCAGGCATATGTGGGGTGGTAACAGAGTCGGAGCTAGGTGGGGTCTCACTGGAGGGCATTTGGGTGCTCATTAAATCTGTGCTCATGGGTACAGTTGTAGGGCCAGAAGAACTAGGAGCATCAGTTATAATGTTGGTGGGCTCAGATTCCGGAGTCATGGAAGTAGGAGCATCCGAATGTGTTGGAAACATGGTTCTTATACTGGTAGAACTGGGAAGGGTGACCATTTCAGTAGAAGAGGGAAGGACCGAGAATGGCGTGGTGGGAGAAGAGGTAACATCAGTGCTGGGATCAACTTCTATGCATGGAGGAGTGGGAGAGGTGGGGACTATTGTAATGGTGATAGTTTCTGGGCAGGGTGTGGAGGAAGGAAGAGAAATAAAAGAAAAGGGGGTTATTTCCGTGAGAGTTGTGGTCAGCGAGGAAATGGTTGGAGAAGTTCTGGTAGTTGCAAAAGAGGACAGAGAAGAGGTGGTGGTGGAAGAGCTGACTTGTTCTGTATTGGAGATAGGTGGGGAGGTGGGGCCAGCATTGATGGTAGTGGGGAGCATGGAATTGCTGGTGGGAGAAGAGAGAGGAGAGGACAGTCTTACTGTGGGTGTGGAAGAGATCAAGGTCCCAAAGGATGTCATTATTGCATTGGTGGAAGTGGTCTCCCTAGTGAAGGCTTCTGTGCTGGACTCACGGGAGGTAGTGAGTGAGGTTACCACTGGAGGGGTGGAGACAGAGGTTTTAAGAGTGGATAAGTCATTACGTGTCATAGAGACATGTGACGTTGACATGAGAGTACTCGAGTGTGGTGATGGAGTGAAGGGAGGAAGAGAAGAAAGGGAAGAATCCGTACTTACAGGAGAAAAAGTACCATGTTCAGGAGAAAAGGAGGACCCTCCATCAGAGGTAAATATAGCAGAGGAGGACATTGGCAGTGAGGTGTCAGATGTCACCTGAATACTTGTATCAAGAGAACTTCCCCAGGTGCTCTCAGTACTTGCCAGGGGAGTTGGCACACTGGGGGTGATGTGGATTGTACTAACGAGTGGTGTGGAGTCCATGTCCTGGACAGTGGGAGACCAGGCGATGGTCCTAGTGTGGGGGGAGGAGTTGCCTGTCACTGTGCTCAGTGGACTGGTGTCGCCCACAGATGAGGGACTGATAGAAGGGGGCGTGTTGGATGCAGGAGTGATGGAGGTCATGCCTGGATGAAAAGAAGACCAGGAGGTAGAAGTGGATGTCCCTGTACTCTCTGAGGTCCTAGGAGGTGAGGAGAGGGCAGCTGTGGATACGCTATGAGTGGGGTAACCACTTGAAGTGGTGAAGCTGTGTGTGCCATGAGAGGTGGTCATGGTGGCCACAGGCACCTCCGTTGAGGGAGCAGTCTTGAAGGTTTCTGAGCTGGACACAGAGGGCCAGGTGGGAGTGAGGGAAGCAGCACTGGTCTGTGTGTGTGTCATGGTGGAAGGAGAGGTGACAACAGATGTGGAATGTGTGACACTGCTAGAGGGAGAATTGGCTGAGGACATCTCTGATGTCCCTATAGATCTGGCATCTGTCGTAGGTACTGTGGTGACCAAGGTGGATAATAGGGTGTTATGAGTGTTAGCAATAGTGACTGAGTCTGTGCTTGGGACAGGGGCAGAA